TGAGGGACATAATCTTAGCCCCTGATTTGCCCAATGTTAGCTCAGCATTGCCACTGTGGTTAAAGGTGATTTGAGCCTGGAGTTTTCCTAGTAGGTCTCGTCCCAATAATGCTACAGGGCAGTCTGGCAGGTAGAGGAACTGATGAGTAATTTCTCGGCCTCCAAGGGTGCATTGTCGAGGCTGTAAAAAGGGCCGATGGACTCGTCCTCCCATGGCTCCTGCAATGGTGACCTGTTTTTGTGAGAGGGGGCCTATGGGCCATGTCACGACAAAATCTTCAGCGCCTGTGTCAACCATAAAGTTAATGGGTTGGCCCCCAATCAACATTTGGACCATAGGCTCCTGGGGGCCTAGCTGGATGGAGCCTGGTCTGGCCTATTCCTCCCTATATTTTTCCATGCCAGCAAGTCCAATGAAGTCGTCTCCAGAAGGGCCTGGCATCTGTTGGGGCGGCTGGTAACAGCCGTGAGTGACTCAACCCGGCCTCCAGGGATTCGGACCTGTTGGCATCCTCCCCAATCACTGAGGACATTCATTTTTCCAGTGGCCACGTTGGTGGCAGTAAGCACATTGATTTTGTCCCAGGCTTGGCCTCCTGGTGTGTGGCCCCCCCTTGACGTCGCCCTCACTGGGGTAGCCCCAGATTTGGGATGGCATTTTGTCCTGGGGTCCCAGCCCATTCAACAAGTGCAGCAGCAAGCAAGTCCACCTTTTTCTTCATCTTCCGATCCGCCTCTCGACGAGCCTCTTGGTCACGATTGACATAGGCTTTGGTTGTCATAGGCTTTGGTTGCCACTTCAAGGAGCTGGCTGATATTCATGCCAGCAAATCCGTCCAGTTTCTGAAGTTTCCGCCGGATGTCGCCCTGGGACTGCCTGACGAAAGCAGCATTGACCATATCTGTTGATTCTCGAGGGCCTCAGGATCAAAGGGAGTGTAGAGACGGAATGTTTCACAAAGTCTTTCATAAAATTGGCTTGGGCTCTCCTCGAGTCCCTGGAGGACTTCAGAGATCTTGTTCATATTGATGCTTTTTTTGCTACCATCCTTTAGGCCTCCTATAAGGGCTTCTTGATACCGTTCCAGCATCTGGAAGACCTGGTCGTCATTGGGGTCCCACTGGGGTCCTCCTCAGGGAAATGGTTCTGGACATACACTTGAATGTTTAAGGTCCCGGGTGGGGCATGTTCCTCTAGCCATTTTATAGCTCCCTGGGTGACTCGCTGGCATTCCTTAGTGTTAAAGAGAGTTAGGAGGAGCTGGCGGCAATCAGCCCAGGTGGGCCGATGCGTTTGAATGATTGACTGAAGGAGGTCAGTCAAAGCCTGCGGCTTTTTAGTATATGATGGGGTATGATTTTTCCAATTTAAGAGATCAGTGGTTGAGAAGGGCTGGTACACAAATATGCGTCAGCTTCCCTGAATCTGGCCTTCCTGATCATAGTAGATGGAGCCTCTGGTTTCCCGTAGGGGGAGCTGGAGAGCGCCAGTCTCAGGGCCCTTTGTCTGCAGCCGCTTATCTGTGGGCCCGTATGGGGTCAGGACTGGAGGCGGTTGTAGCAGGAGGGTCTGGGAAGGGGGTGGTAAGCGGAGAAGGTAGAGCCAGCAAGGGTGGCACTGGAGGCTGGGCTGGCATTGTGGGCAGAGAAAGTGGAACTGGTGAGGGCGGTGCTGGGGGCTGGGCTTGTGTGGTGGGCGGAGAAGGTGGGGCCGGTGAGGGTGGTACTGAGGGCAGGGCTGGCAGCTCGGAGGCTCGCGGAAGAGGTGGGTAGATAGGTGAATAGGGGGGCGGGATCTCCTCCGGGTCTGAAGACAAGACCGGCTTTTGCCTTTCTGTTTTGTCCTTAGACAGCTTCTGGGAGGGAATCATAGCCCAGGCTAAAAGAACTCTACACTGCTTTTCCAAACAGGACCTCAACCAAGGGGGTCAGGTACATACAATAGCCTCCCATGAGTAGATATAGGGGAACTAGTCAGGGTAACCGGGGCTGCCGGTAACAACGAGGTAGACTTTCCTAATGAGGTCCCTATCAAGGCTTCCCTCTGCTGGCCATTCCACACCGAATGACGGCCAATCAATCTCACAGAAGGTGCGAGCTTTTGGGGGGTCATATCAGTGCCATAATCCCCCAAGAACCCCTTCTTAAAATATTTTAACATACATCCTAAAGGAGTCTGAGTACTCTGTCACCCATCCATGGCAACCACACGAGATCCGCGCAACACCCAATCACTTAGAGACTTACTTCGTCCGTCCCCGGCTGCTCCTGTCGTGAGGAAGTTTCAGGTGCCTCTTAGCAATTGGTGGTCGGTATAAACCCCCAACTTGGATCACTAAACCGTTTGAGACAGTTTAGCGATGCCACCCTAGGCCATATGAGGTGTGCTACGGACCCACAGATTGGTACTCCACACTCGCTTCACAAACAGACTGCGTCTCATTCACATGGCTTCAAACAGATTCATTTTCTGCCCACCGCTCTGTTCCTGAGAGTCACGGTTTCTCTCAGAAATTGAGATACTCGGGTGACTCTGGGAGGTGATCAGTCTCTCCTTCTGTCCACTGATTGACAGGCTGCCTTAAGGGACTCGGGTCCTTACCTGTCTGGTCGGGTGGCACTCCCAAGCTGGTTCCCGTAGCCCTCCAGGTTCCACTGTGCTCCCGGGTTGGTCCCCCGTGGCCAGCAGGGGAGACATCCCCACTGACGGACAAGAGTCCACTGGCGCTGAGTAGAGTTCGTGTCCCCTTTCATCCGGGGGAGCTGGGCCTTGGGGACAAGGGAGGCAGAAAATATCACCGTCTCCGCCTCCTGGGTGATCCCCCAATTATGTTGCGGGAAACCCAGACAGAGAGACAGGACACCAAGGCTCAGGAAGCAACATTCATTGATGCGGGCACCAGCTCAGCGGATTTACATCCAGAGGCTGAGCCCGACCTGTGCAGGACTCGGGTTTTCCAGGTTGACAGCTAAGATTTATTATTAGGACATTTGGCCATTGTGCCAGTTCCTGACT